CCCGTCTGGTCCCAGGTCGAATTGAAGAATAGTATAAAATATTACCAAAGTTTGTAAAAAAATTATAATCAACATATTTGACTGTGTAGGGACGGATTTTACAAGCTTCTAAACAAACGTTTATGTAATCCGTTGGTACAAATATGCGACGACCAACAAGCTTTCTTTCTATTGCTGAATGGCAGCTATCAACTTCCATCTGCGTATGCCCTTTAGTCAAAAATTTTTGGCAGATTGTTACGCTGCTTTTTCTGGCAAAATAAAGCAAAGCGTTAGACAACGTATTGTTTTTGATAACTGCATACTGATAACTGATAACCGCAGTTGTCAGAATAGATAATAAATTCTTTAATTTGAGAATTGTCATCAAGGCGAAATTTTAAATAGTCTAATAAAATTGAGGCAAAAACACTGGATTCTAACCCACCGTTCCCTTCGTGCCACAAATAGCACCATACAGTCTTGGAAGCCAAATCAAAAATTGTGTAGTTATGAACTGCCAGTTTTGTTTTATAATAAAACGCTGTGGCTTCAACGCATGGTGCTAACTTAACGGCTTGCATGTCAACTGTTATACAAACTATATTTTTATTTTTCATGCATTCATCTTTATCTTTTCTTTTTTCATTTCTAGACGCTTCTTTCTCTTGTTGGTGTTTATTGTACTCTTCTTCACTTATATTTCCAATTTCGTGGCCCATACATGTGTCGCAAAGATCCTTTTTAGGGCTATGGATGGATATTTTTTGATTTTCCATTTCCAACTGAAACATAGTGCGGCTCAAACTTTTTATTGAAAGTCGTTGACATTCTACCTTGTATGCTGAATATACATCATTTTTTTTTCTTAAAAATAGGCTCTAAATATAATCGTGAAGATGAAGCACGGCAGTAATGCGATTCGAGCTTTGGTAAAGTTGTTAAAAAGTCTGATAGAAACCCTTTTGAATGCTTTAAATTTGCCGTTCTTGATTTGGTAGGTGTTTTCTTATTTTCAGCTGCAACATGAATACCATTTTCTGATTCTTGACGCCAACGGACTGCGACTGATTGAGTTATTCCAAGGGTGTTGAGAAACATTTTTTTGCAAACTTGAACTCTTTGCTCATTGTTCATTAAGTAGTACTCATAAGAATTATATCTTCGACTGGCTTCTACAGTAACTTGGTGTGGTTGCTTGACTTCTATTAAAGATGCTACGTAAACTTTTTTCATATCCCATGTCATCTTTTGCCAAAAACTATTAAACAGATTCATGCGAATATTTTCAGAAAAATTAGAGCAACCTCGCTTTTTTGATTTTATACAATATTGAGATTCACATTTTAAACGAAGGTTTCGTGCCGGTCGATTTTCAGTTAACCTATATTTACCATCATCTTGATCTTTCTTCAAACCTTTGTACTTTTTACCGTACATTCGATTAAATTTTTCTTGTTTTCTACAATTTTTTCTTTTGTTATCATTTTCCTTATTCTCTTTTTCTTCATCATTGGTAGAATTCTCAATATCATTAGGTGCTTGGTTGTTCGTTTCACTTGCATGGGGTTCGTCATTTAGCTCTTCAGTGTTATTTGAAAGTATCTCAATAATAATATTTTCCGTACTCGTAGGTATTTCCAATTCAGAAACATTATTCGTTGGGGTTTCGTTTTCAGATAATAATGTATTATTGTCATCATTGTGATCATTGGAAACATTCAATAACAAGTTATTATTAGAAACAGTTTCTAATATGTCACGATCCATTATTTCTCCTTCACTAGGACGTTCTTCTATGTTACAATTATTAAGCTCCTCGCTCTGACTCTCATCGGAAAACCAGAATTCAGCACTGTTCAAAATATCTTCTAGTTCTCTTTCGGTTAGCGCTTTATTGGGTCTTTTATTGGCCATTGTGCCTGAAAAAAAAATTGAAAATTTAATTATTTCAATTTATATAATGATTTAATACGTTTTAACCCATTTTTGGCTTGGATTCATATTTTTTAACAGGTAAAAATAATTGTTACAATTATTATTAGCTATTGCAAAAACGTGTATCTGGCAAATAAATATGTTCAAAAACGTGTATCTCAATGCTGAAGTTGTTAACAAATTCTGAGCATTCAATCTATCAAAAATTACTTTCAAATGAATTCTACCTTAAAGAACAATTTTTTAAAAATAGCTTAACACTTACCCAACTAATTTCTAAGCTTTATTTCACAGTAAAAATCCGGACGAACAATCTGGTGCAACTAAACATAACCACACAATACCGATTCTGGCGCTTTAAACTTAGTTACACCTTTTTGCTTGCTGTGGAGAGATACACCGATTTGATTTTCGGAAATAACTTAAACACGAAATTTTCTACAGTTAAATGGTTTTGCACTAATAGAACTATTGCTATTTCTTACGAGATGGCGATAAAATGTCAATTTTGATATTTTTTGAGATACACCATTTTGCTCTTTCGCCGACGATATCCTATATATTGTTGAAACGATATTATAGTTAAAGTATAGTCATACGTTCATATACAAAGTGTTCTAATTAAGGAAAAAATATTCTTCTTCTTCATGTACCATGTTCTTTCGAAACGTTGGTTACCATTATAGCTATCTTAATTGTATTCACTACCACCGTAAATAGCATGCTTGTATCAACACCATACCAATCTCGCAAGTTCTTTATCCATGAGGTTCTTCTTCGTTCTGACTGCGTTTGCCTGCTATGTTTTCTTGAATGATATTTTGTAGCAACCTATATTTGGGACCTCTCATTACATGTCCAAAATACTCCAGTTTTCTCTGTTTGGTGCTTTTTATGATCTCAGTGGTCTTGCTGAGACATTCTAGTATTGTGGAGTTTCGAATCTTCTCCACCCAGGAAACTTTTAAAATTCTTCTATAGCACCACATTTCGAAACCCTCAAGGCGATTTAGATCGATTTTATTTACAGTCCAGGACTCGACATCATAAAGTAAGACCGAGACCACGTAGCAGCGAAGTAGGCGGTTCCTCAAAGTCAATTTTAGGTCTCTGTTACATAACACCTTGGACATCCTTCTAAAGCTCTAGCCTGCTCTATCCTAGATCTAATTTCGTCGTGACTTTCTGCGTTACAATTTAATTGCTGTCCAAGGTAAACAACTAATATAATAAGGAAAAAATATTAAAAAATTTAATATAACTAAAAAAAACAAAATTTAATTGTGAAATAATTGTGATATAACAAATAATAAAATAATAATTATAAATAATTGACACCCTGTGTATTTGCATATAACTTTAAATACGTCGGTATTCTCTATTATTACGCTTTCCCTACAATTAAAATAAATATTGTTTGGCTAAATTCATTGGTTTAGGAGTTATTATTTTTTTAATGCCCTACAATTTAAGGAAAATCGAAATATCTCCGAAATTACAATATTAAGGTATAAAAAATGCAATAAAATACGGGAGTTCCATAAAAACAAACATACGTTTGATACGTCCACTTTATGAGACCCCTCGTATATTTCAAAATAATTTTAAAATTGCCTTTACATTCCCATTGCAAATTTATTTCGACCACTTTCGATAATACATCTGTTTTGAGAGTCGACAGACACGTTTTCTTAGAACTGCATCGACATAGATATAATAGTAGGGCATCGACACCCAAAATTTTCAAGCCCAGATGTTTTTATCTCTTGTAAACACTCATTTATATATAATTTCTTAGGGTAATAAAAAGCATATAAAACAATCCAGGAAACACACTTTTGAAATAATTCAATAATGATAAGTTATTAATTATGATTAATAGGATCTTATTGCAGAGAATATTTATTACACTTAACATACTTAATATCTTTTAATTAATAGTTTTTATTTTACTTTGAATGTAGGTACCTAGTTATTATACTATGTATTTTCCAGAGGCCTATGTAACCACTTTCTTCTATATCAATAGACAAACAATTTAAGTTTTAAGTCTTAAAAGTACCATTGATATAGTCCAAGATAAATATTGTAAATAAACAATAATGATAAATTGAACTGAAAGCTACAACATTGAAAAGTGTTTTAATCCTTAAACTCTAAAAAAAATAAACAAAAAAATATGTAGATGTGTAAAATGAAAAAAAAGCGTTATACCTCTTCATGAAAAGCAATCATTATTTATGATGTCAAAATTTAATAATTCACTCAAGATATTGTCATGCGCCACCTTCGTAGCTTTTCATATCTACACCATGGGCACTTTAGTTTATTCCTAAACTCGCATTTACGATTATGAAAACAAACTCTTATAAAATAATACTTTTATTTGAACTTTAATGACTTCATCTGATACTTAGATCTTCCATAAATAATAAATAATAAATCATTTATTATTAATTTCACATCTTAAATTAATTATTTATCAAATAAACTATTAATATTATTTAATAAGCAACACAAAATATTCCTGAAGCCGTGTCAAACATTTAGTAGCTTTGCCACCACTTTCAGTTCGACTGAGTGCGTTGTATGACAAAGATAGGGAATGTTCGATTTGGAAAATATTACCGCGGACATAGTGTTCATTTTTTTCGAATCCTGAAAAAACTAAAACATATTTTTGAAAAATTTAAACGCAGAATGAAAGATTACATTATTACCGAGGGCCGAAAGTCCCTTAGAATAAACAAAAAGTTTTTTTGAATGAGATATATGAGATTAAAAATCACACTAAATTTTCTCTTGTTTTTCACCCCTGTAACTAATTAAAATAAACATTATAGAAGTTTTCAGGGACTTTCGGCCCTCGGTAATGATGTAATCTTTCATTCTGCGTTTAAATTTTTCAAAAATATTTATTAGTTTTCTCAGGATTCGAAAAAAATGATTGCATTTAAAAAGCATTGGCCCGAAATTTTGCGCCTACGCTCTTAACTGGTTTAATTTTCCAGAGAATAGCCCAAAAAAGAAGAAGAATCTTTTAGGTTAGCTTTTGAATGCAGGGAAAAATAAAACGACATTTTAATATAAATATTTTAATTAAGATCTCTATCTTCTAAGTATTTATATTCAAAAGTAAATCCTTCTTTTTTCCTTTGTCCCCACTTCTCATAATCGAAGTAAATATAAGTCCCCTGTAACAAAAAATAAAATATATAGTTTAATATTTTAAGCACAATTAGAATTCATTTAATAAATAATTTTATTTTTCCCACTCAAAAATCTATGTGGCTTAAATCAGAGGAACGAGGTGGTCATTCAATAAACCTTGATTTGGAAATATTTTTTGAAGATAACTTTGCGTATCATTTCTAAAATAAGGCGGGACACCGTTTTGTTGGAACCGGATGTTATTAGATGGTATATCCGGATGTTTTCATTAGGCATCATAGTTACTAAGGCTAGGATATCAAACCGTAAAAAGTAAACATCTGCATTCAAGTGGTCATCGAAAAAATGGGTCTACTATCAGATTTCCAACAATCCCAGTACAAACATGGACTTTTTGTGACATTTGTGTATGAACATCTTGAAACCAATGTGGGTTTTCAAAACTCCAAACGCATATTTTGTCTATAACGATTCTGTCCGAGCAAATTTGTAATCACAAAACTTCAGTTTTCTGAATCATTTAGCTTCATGGCGAGTGTTATTTGGCTACAGTTTTGGAGAAAACAGTTTTGATGTTTTCTAAAAACTTATAATGGAATTGTATATATGACAGAAAATCTGAGGTTAAAATGCGTATGAGCCAAAGGATATTTAAACATTTCATTGAGTAACAAAAATCGCAAAATAAGCAAAAAGTTCAATTGCAAGAAAACTAAGTAGATGGTTCATTCAAACAATTAATCTTTCGACGACACAGACATTGTAAATAGTGAAAATTAGTCTGTAACACCACTGAAAATAATATTTAACAACTAGTACTGCAAAAAAGAAAATAATTAGGATCAAGGGAGAATACTAACCTGTTCATATTCTTCATTAATAATTTTGGGTTCTTCGTGCCTCTGAAACCACATCATGTACTTCGTGTGGAATCGCCAGCTTTGTTTTTTGAGCGCTTTCGCTGCGAGGTATTGGGCTTTAGTACCTTCCATGTAGTAGAATACAAAAAAGAGGGTCTCCGTCGCTAACCTCTGGAAGAAATCTAAACTCTCAGAGTGGGCGAGGGGCGTTTGGATATAGTACGAAGGTGTTGTGCAAGGGCTCCTACAAACAAAAAAGGCATTTCAACGGTGTAAAAGCAAAACTTCAACAGTCAAAATGCCAGAATTTTCTAAATCTTATTTTGCCATATATATACGATATCAGTAACAAAAATTAAAATTACATTTCTGCATGGTCCTATATAGGTGTTCACTCATTAAAAGTAATGAAAATATGTTTGGTCAGCGTTTTATGTAAAATACCACTCTGTGCGACGTTTGGAATTTAAATTCCAAATATTTCATTTACTTGTCATACTAAATGATTCAATTTAAAAATTTCACGAAAAGGGGAATTTAGTATTTTGATAATTTGGTAAAAAAATGTTAATAACCTTCTTGGATCAACCTGACAGCTTATAAAATCTGGAAACTCTTAATTTCACTTATATCTTACCTTGGCAGGTACGTTCTTATCCTCTCCGAATCTGAAGGGTGAGGCATGTGGTAGTACGCCGCTTCCATAAGTTGGAACTGGGTCTGGTGTTCTTTTTGGAGAGGTATAGCGCCTAGTGGCGCCACTCCCAGTAAGGGCGGTATGTGGGCGTCAGACTTGCCTTGGTTTTGTAACTTGTTTGGTTCTAGAATGACTTGGTTATTTTGTAGGCCAGCTTGGTCTATCACTTGTTGAGCCATGGACTTAAGCGATGTCATTCCTTCGCTTATCTAAAAAATACGATTTAATTTAGTAAAAACATATTAAAAATATAAATTTAGATGATGTAGGAGGGTGTATATGAACATTGTTTGTAGATCTTTATCATCTTTCAAGTGAAAACTTCTTATAGTGTGTCATTACTATTACAATTTTTTATAATTTTTTATATTGTATTATAATTTTATTTATGTTTATATAATAGACGTCCCATACCTAATTTTCATTGGTTTTTATTGATCCTTTGGCCTTTTCTCACATCTCTAGAAGCCATCTTTTTTTTATTAAAAGCCATTATTTTTATCCCCTCTTTCCATGTTTTCTTAAGGTGGGAGTACGGTTTATTTTCAATATTTTAAACACATTTTTAAGATTTTTTTTTAATTGTGTTATATATATTTATTTATAAAATTAGTACATTATTGTACATTTCAAGAGTATTATCTGAAATTTGGTACAAAAATATCAAAAATTAGGAAAATGAAAGCTAATTAATTTTATTTAATGTTATATAATTTTATTTAATTTTTATAATTTTATATATTATTTTTTTTATTTCAGTTAACTTTACTTAATTTTCCTTAATTTTATTTATTTGTATTTAATTTTTATAATTTTTAATAGGTTTTTTAAGAATTTTTCATAATTTTTTATATTATTTAATTGTATTTAAGTTTATTTAATTTTATAACTTTTTATAATTTTGTATAATTTTTATTTTTGTAACTTTTTATACTTTTTTATTTAAGTTTATATGTTTGTATTTAATTTATTTTATTTCATAGAAATTTTTTAAAATAAAAATAGACCAAATCTATCCAGTCGTTCTCGATTTGTTATAAAAAACAATTTTTTATATATTATAAAATTATATGTAAAAGTGTATATGTATGTATATTATGTATATTACGGTATACCGCAAGGTACTACCGTCTCGATTTTTCGGGTGATAGGACTTCGCGGCCGTGCAAAACATCATACCGAGCAATAAGAAGTATTCACTTCAAAATGCCAATAAAAGATGAACGTCTTACCTTCTCCGTCGTCGTACCATTCGGGACTTGCTGTGATGCATCAACGTCAGAAGTTGACATTTCACTGCCATTATTTGGTTCTGGACTTATGCAATTATTTTGTACATGTTGTTCATTATATAATTTTGGAGGGGGTTTGTTGAATTTTGTAATCCCTGAAAAATTGAAATTGATATTAATAAAACCACCTACAAAAGATTTCAGTAACAATACTATAACAACTTCTCTAATAGTTATTTAAAAGTTGGAAAATAACCTCTATACAATCCATCACAAGGCTAGGTCATTTATATGACAGTAACATTTTTTCTTCAGAAATTTCTTGGGAGTCTTCCTTATTATTTAAGGTTAATACATACTAGGGCATGAAGGAGTTAGAAGGTATAAAGTAGCGAAGCCATTAGCAAAACAAGTTCTAGAGATACCTTTGATAGTGTAAAAGCATTATGCAGCACCACAAAAGATGTCGTAAGAATGAAGGATAAAAGTGGTTGAAAGTAAGTCATAATAATAAATATAAAATTTTACATGAGCAAATTCACGTGAAGAAAATTATTATCAACAATGATAGGATGCTTTCGCCTAGTTTAATGGATCTTGAGCGGAAAATGATTACAGAAATGATGACTGGGACACTGTCAACTGAGCAAATACCTCTATAAAATGGTGTAGAAAATCCGAAATGGTGGAAACAACTACTAGACATTGTATGTGTGGGATATACCTAATGACAAGAAGTAATTCATTATCAGTATTTGGTTAGTTTCTTGGTAGAGTTAAGCAAATAAAAAAGGTTTAGAACAAAGATCTAATGTCCAGAGAAGGTAGTGTCTCGCATAAACTAGGAAGCAGGGCAAAAAAGTTACTATAGATATTTGAATTCTAACACGAATGAACTATCTTACAATAAAGTCGTCCCAGGAACGCAACTCAGGAATATTAGCAATATCATTTTAAAGGCGCCTGCTTTAAACTGTATAATATATGTCTGAATTGTAAATATAAATGAGACAGATAAAATTAAATTATTAAGAATTTTTTACCAAGTAACAAAAAAAGAAATCGAAAAGTGAAAAATTAACTTATTTTAAACTTAAATTGTGGCTTATTCCCAATAAAAATAGTAATTGCATTAGAATATATATCAATCGATTTTAAAACGTTTTGCGACGTTGTCCGATGCCTAATTTCCATGACACTCTATCATCCCATTGGCCCTCTCTAAGATCTCTTGCGCTCATCGCCTTCGTTACTCCCTCTCTCCAAGATTTCTTGGATCTTTCTGCGGTTTGGTGGTACCCATGGCATAATTATTTTTGGGAGTCTTGAGTTATCCATCCTCTGGACGTGTCCGTACCGTATCAGCTGTTTTCTTTCTATGTCTGTTTTTAGAGAGCCGTCAACTCCCATTCGCTGTTTTATCTCATCATTACATTATTCTCTCTCTGCGTGATACTACTACTGATCTTCTAAAAGCGTCCATTTCTACTGCCTCCAGTCTTCTTCTGTTGTTTTCGGTTATTCGCCAAGTTTCGGCTCCGTACAATAGACTGCTTTTAATAAGAGATTCGTAGATATTGTGTTTTCTTCTTTTTCCTATTTCATGACTCCACAGTACGTTGTTTAGACAACATGTTGTTTTTCTGGATTGTGTTATTCTTCTCTTTATTTCTTCATCATCTTTCCCCGTTGTGTCAAAAACGATTCCTAGGTATGTGTAATGGTCGCAGCGCATGATAATTTTGTTATTTTCTAATTAGTCCATGCTGTGAGGCCGCTCCCGTTGGGAAAATGTTTCTGATTCGGTTTATTCGCGGATTCCGGTTCAAAAATGTCCCCTTTAAACAAATCTGAAGGGTGCCGGGCGAAATTTTTGGGCAGAAATTGTTTAAACATTTTTTTTTAAACAAAGTCCAAAAATAATTTTTTTAATCTAGAAAACGTTTTTTTTTAGGTTTTTTGGGCCATTTTAAACAAAAAAGTCTGTTGTCATTTTTCTCTAAAGTTGATAGTTTTCGAGTTATAAGCGATTTAAAGTCTGAAAAACGCGAAAATACGCATTTTTGAGGCTTGAAAACACTTATGTAAATTATTATTTTTGAGGTTACCAAGTGTCTAAATTAAAGTTTAAACATTCAACTTCAAGATTGTGAAGAGTAATCGGGGCTTATTTTAATTTAGACCGCAGTTTTTTAATTGTTAAGTATGCGCGTACACTCGATTTTTCAGCCGCCGCGGCGCCGCGCGCTACCGTGCGCCTCTATCGTACTTATGCATAGTTTACATATACTTACAAATAATTATTATTTATTGAGTATATATTTATTTATATCAATTGAGTTATAATATAAATTTCGTCTAAAGTCTAATAATAGTTACATAAAATAATTGTACAAAAGATTGTTAAATAACACACCAATATCACTCAGTAAAAGTATCTTTGTTTTCACAAAAATCTAAATCACATCCACATAATGGTACACAGTTGACATGATTTTTCTTGCAGTTGCAAGCATTAGTTTTGCAAGTCTTTTTGCATTTGCACGGTTTCCCAACCCACCACTATCAGACATAAATATAATATCCATATTGTGTAAAATCGAGAGTTTGATAGCGGGAATATATGGCATTTCGCCAAATATATGTTTTAGCGAAAGCTCGTAACAAGTGTTGGTAAAGTGCGTCAGAGGTACAAGGTATATTGGCTAGATTACATTAAATTTTTCAGTCACACAGTCTTTTCGTCGAAGAGCAGCATTTTGTATTGTTATGTAAAAATCTACTTTAGGTTTTTGCACTAACTTAATATTGTTGATGTTATTACAAAAAATACAAACTAAATTTTCTTCGGTAAGTTTTCATTTAAGAAGAGGTACGGAAAAAGCCATTTTAAATCCATTCACAATTTTTTTTAATAACACATTAACAATATAATACCCTTTTAATGGGCATTAAACAATAGTCTTCCTAATGATCGTTTAAGTAATAACAAATCAAGTATGAGCGCTCGATTGTTAAACAGGTAAAAACTTGCATTTTTGTGATAGTATATTGTTTTTAAACACCGCGCAATTTAAAATTAAGTTTACTAATATTAATATTTACTGCATTGTATTATTTAAATAATAATTTAAAAATATTATTTACAATTGATATAAATAAATATATACTCAATAAATAATAATTATGTTGTTCAAATTTGGAAGAAAGAAAACTATATACGGTTATTACATTGCGATGATTGATTTATTTAATTAGCCCAATGACAATAATTAATACCTACATAAATAAATTATGGAAAAACTATGTTAATAAACTTCAAGGATTTGTTCGGGTTTTTTTTTGCGTAAGTGTATATGTAAACTATGCATAAGTACGATAGAAGCGCACTCTAGCGCGCCGCGCCGCTGCTGCTGAAAAATCGAGTGTACGCGCATATTTAACAATTAAAAAACAACGGTCTAAATTAAAATAAGCCCCGATTGCTCTTCACAATCTTGAAGTTGAATGTTTAAACTTCAATTTAGACACTTGGTAACCTCAAAAATAATAATTTACATATGTGTTTTCAAGCCTCAAAAATGCGTATTTTCGCGTTTTCAGACTTTAAATCGCTTATAACTCGAAAACTATCAACTTTAGAGAAAAATGACAAGAGACCTTTTTTGTTTAAAATGATCCAAAAAACCTAAAAAAAAAAAACGTTTTCCAGATTAAAAAAAAATATTTTTGGAATTTGTTTAAAGGCTACATTTTTGAACCGGAATCCGCGAATAAACCGAATCAGAAACATTTTCCCAACGGGAGCGGCCTCACAGCATGGACTAAATGTGATGTTCGACAATTCGGTACCTATTGGCAGGTATTTTTTTTCTTTATTAATTTCTAGTCCCCACTTTCTATATTCTTCTTGTAATTTCCTTGCCATGTACTCCAGATCATCTTTATCGTTTGCTATAACAACCTGGTCATCAGCAAACTGCAATGTATACAAGCAAATCTCTCTAAGGTCTACGCCTATGCCTCTGCATTTTCGTTTCCACTCTTTCAATGCTTTTGCAACATTGCATTAAAATGCCACAAGAAAATAGCTTCAGAACAATATTAAGTATATATTTGTTAATATTCTAAAATCTAGGTTAGCCGGAGTAGAGTCACCGATCCAGATATTGTAACTACCAACCTGGATATGTCCAACCAACCAACCAACCACCAAAACAACCTTTCGACAAAAAGTACAGTTCAATAAAAGTCATATTCAAATAAAAAGAATTAATACTTACTAATGACGCAATGGGATTTGTATGGACCGTTGTATTAATGGCATTGGATGTGTTTTGAGTTTGAACTTGACTAACAATGGTTATCACAGATGCTGGATTGCTCTCTCCGCTTGCTGCTTAACAAACAATAAAATATTTTATTATTATGTACTATAATAAACAATTAATGTTTTATTTAAACGAAAAATGTTAATTTTGTCACGCTTGGAGTAAATGTGATAATTAACAACTTTATCCGTGCCTTCTGTATTAGGCATTATTTGGGAAAATTACAAAATCGAATGGTGGCTTGGTAGTTTCAATGATAGGAAGTCGATTGCCAATGAAAAGACTACACTAAAAAGATTACGTAGGACGCTGAAACTCATGAAACTCTATCTACGGGTGACTCATAAGTACTTTGTTAAATTTTTTCTAAAATAACTGTTTATTCTACACAGAAAGTACTAATAAAAATTTTTGTTTATTATTACCTTAGCTATATTTCTTTAAAACTTATTTTCTATGGTGTACAGATTCTTGGTAAATCGATTATTTTCGTTTTCCCCTCCTATGAACAAGGGTTTAGGGGGAAGCCAGGGAGTTGTGAATGGTAAACCTTTTTACATACTTTTGGGGCCCGAAAATAGACATTCTCAGCAAAAGTCTGCTTGTTCGTATAATTTTTAGAGGTTCAATGGGGTTTTTCATATCTGACAACTGGAGTAAATTAGTATTTGGGAATCCATGATAATATTTTTTAACAGCAAAATACGAGGTTATCATAGGGACGAAGTAAATTATAATTATCAGTATTGTTTCGCGTCAAAAAGTCATAAAAAATTTAAAAATTGGAGAATTGAGTCATCAAGCAATGTATTTAAAGAGGTTAAGAAGTAAGAAGATCTATATCCTTAATACGATCGATGTCTCTCTGAATAATGATACCACCCTGAAATTTGAATTGCATCTTCAAAAGAAATAAATTTTCTATTGAAGATGAAGACTGATCGGGATGGACAGTTTCTGGATTCACCTCCGTAGATATCGATGCAGTTTATGACATTATTTTATACGAACGCGCGCATTATATAGTTCAAAGCTGATTTGGACATTAGAACAATTTCTGCAAAATGCAGAATCGGACAAGAGCAGAAGCATCGCGTTTGATCTGTGCTGTTTTAAAAAGCAAACTTCTTAAGCTGTGTTGTTAGAATAGTAGAACTGAAAAAGAGAAGTGTACGCATAGAAAAAAAAAATTGGAAAAATACGAACCTACAGGTATACGGAAACTACATAAAAAACAGAAAGTATGCAAAATATAGGAAAAAAGAAAACCGTTGCATTCAACCCGAAAATTCACCTGTTTCTCAATCTTAAATTTCCAACGTTTTGGAAGGTTTGTCAGTCAGTGATCTCATCACTTTTATTCAGCTGTCAAAAGCACATAGTGATGGCATCAGAGAGTTCTTTTAAAAATAAAAACGTTGCCTACGCATAGGCTCCGTTAACTTAGGGAAGAAGTAGAAGTCTGGTAGGCTCATGACCAGCCAGGTGAGGCAAGACTTTTCATAGTGGACTTATCCAATCCAACAAGGTGTGATAAGACTCAACTGTCACACTTGGTCCACAAGGAACTCTGTAAAAACAATCTGTAGGTTATCGTAGTTAAGTAAAGATGACCCACAAAAATCATTTGTCCAACTTTTGATTGAGCTCGTCGAATTTTTTGGGTCAGGGAACAACGGAATTCTTCATTCAATTAAATAAGATTTCAATTTCGGTTCGAAGACTCCCACGTTTCATCTATTTCGACGATTCCAAAAAAATGCATTATCTTCAACAGTGAATATTTGCATCAAGATTATTCTGATGTCCAGACGCTTTTTGTCCATAACTACGGTCTAAGGTTTTCCCACCTCAAACCTCACTTAAATCCCGATGGATTTCTGTAGTTTTTTCCACGTAAGTTTCAATTTTAACTACTTCAATTATTACAGTACCCGAAAAACACCTGGAGCTTTCATCTCTGACTGTGTACTGACTCTTCAATGGCCCGAACCGCAACACCTACATTAAATAATATCTGAAAAGACCGAACAAAAACAAGGAATACGCTCAGGTTGGTCAATGCTCTTATTCTTTCCATTGCTACATATGCAGATGAAACATGGACTCAAAAAATCTATAAAAATAAGATCGAAGCCTTCGAAATGTGGGTCTATAGAAGAATTCTACGCGTGGCCTGGACAAAACACAGAACCAACCTTTCAATTTCGGAAGAACTTCATATAAAAAACAGGCTATCAAAAAAAAAAACTGAGCATACTTAAATTTCTTAGCTATTTAGCCAGAAGAACAGGGACTATGGACCTATTGTTAGTACAAGGAAATATAGAAGGCGAAAGTGCAAGAGAAAGATCCCTAACACGATGGGCAGACCAAATGAAGTGGTGGGAAAATCCCTACATGAAGCCATCCATATGGCACATAATTGCAGCCAATGGACACAGCGAGCTCATATCATTTAGAGTGTCACCACGTCAGGACTCAAGGAATGCGGAGGAGTGACTGTTCAAGTGTTCAACAATTTGCATTATATCGCATCATTGAATAAGTAGTATTCACAACCGTAAACAACAAATTGGTACGAAAATGTTTTTTGTAGCACGGTTTTATTTTGCTAAGACAACAAATTGTACAATGTAAAAATATCGATTTGTAAAGATTACCTTGCGTTATAATAGGAAACATTTCCACATCGCCCTCAAATATTTCCATCTTCATGGACACAAACTCTATGGCTGCAAATACTGCGATAAGATTGCACATGTACACAAACATCAACGAAAAAAACATAAAGCTAACTTTTGCATTAGACAATTCACACTATACAACTTCCACTTCGGTATTGCGCCCCATTGCGATCAAAAAGTCGTCAACACTATTTATAGACTATCGACATAACTGGACATATAAAAGCACACATGGTGAAATTTACAATAAATTTTTTGGTTTCACTTTATTTCATACGACTTTTTGTTATTTGTAATGCTATTTTGTATTTTTTTTGTTTCTTAATGTCAGTTCAACGAAATGTTTTTGTCACAACGATCAATAAAATCCTCAATTATGCTGATATCATCAGGTCTTACGATATGAACATATTGATTAGCGTTTTCGCCATTTTAAATAGGAATTAAAGACAGCAGTGGCATTTCTAGATAATTCTGTTAGTCCAGAAAAGAAACAAGTTTCTGATTATATGCCTAGTTACCAATTATTTGTGAAGAATATTATAAATAGTGGTACTGACCTAACTCTGATAAAAAAAACAGACAACAATATAATTTAACCAATAAAAAACAAGACATTAGATAAGTTTTTGTATTAATTTACTTTTAAAGCGAGTTTAGTAAAATTTGGTGATATTAAATGGTTTCGTTTACGAGGGTAATATTAAATGTTCTTATTGCCTATTAACAGGTTGACGTAATTTTTCTTATGGTTTTTTAAAGTTTTAATCAAAATGTCTGGAGGAATATTTAAATAAACATTATTTAACGATTATTTCAGAGCAATTTTAGCTAATCAAAATAATATTCGTGGTGGCATAAACGATTTAAAAAAAAATATGAAAATGTTGAATGATAATCAACACATATATAACAACTCGAAGGAGGCAAAAATCAAGAAAATTCTTAGTCTGCTATCCATTACTGCACTATATATTTTTCATATTTCGAAACCGAAACATTTATTTTCGTCTTATTTTAAGTTTGCCCTAGATCTTTTTCATGGTTGTCGGTTGAAGAAGCTTAAAATTTGGTTCTTTTCTATAAATATCTGAACTTTTTAGAATCTTGCACTGTACAAGAAAAATTAACATCAGGGTTTCCGAACTGAATCGAAACAATATATGCAAATATAGCCAAGCAGCCATGGGGGCCTTTATAAGGCCTGGACCAGGGTGGGAATAACGAGAAGAACTAGGCAAGCAGGAATCGGCTCAGAGTCATAACATACTTCCTTACTGGCGTGACGCTCTATGACGAATCGATTTTCAATCATCAGTGACAGACATGGGAGTCCAATCGACAAAGTTTCTCAACTGGGAAACCTATTACAAATACCCTAGACAGGGTTGAAAGACGATCTAGGCTCTTCTGAGCGTTAAGTGGTAAATTTGGAGCTACAAATAAAGAAACTCTCCTAAAAACATACAAAACTTTCATCAGATCGAACATTCAACACAGTTCTCCTCTGTACACGATGTTTGTGGGAATACGGAGGACTCCTGCGACCAGCGAACAAATTGCAAGGTTGGCACGCACTCAGTGGCGTGCTATATCTGTGTGAATGCTATATTTGTTATTCACACATTCAGCCAAAATTTGCTGTATTGTATTTTGAGTAATTGAGATCTGACATCAGTTATGATAATGATACCGACATTGGCGATAAAATGTATAAATTACAAGCACTATACACTCAATAAAATACAAGATAAATACAACATAAAACAAGAAAATATATAAGTTCTCTCAAACTATGGCTGTACCTTTACTCATTTACAGTAGTGAATGTTGGATAAATGATAAAAAACTCAAATATTGGGTTTCTATGAAAAGTTGAAGGCATAGGTAATGGTAATAGCTAAATATATCCGTTACAAACGACAAAATAGCTTATTATGTATAAAAATGTAGACAATATGATGAAGGGATGGAAAAGTCTACTAAAAGACACTCAATTACTTTTACAAATGCAGAGGGATATAGGAAGAACACAAGTTAGATGGTCATAATACCCTGTGAAGATGCAATAAGCCTAATAGTAAAGCCTAATATCTGTACTGAAGAAGAGGAACGATATTATTTATTGAGAATTTAGATACTTACTCGTCGTCTTCGCCGCACTAGCTGCCGCCACCGCAGCGAAGTTACCGCCCATCGATGACGTCGTTAGGGACTGTACAAGCGAAACGGGCGAAGCTTCTCGTCCTGGTTGGATTTTGTTGCCAACAGCTACGGGCGTTACAATTCCGCCGATACTGTTCGCCAAGGATACCGTCGTTTTGCCCACCGAAGGCGCTAACGTCACTCCTATAGGATTGGTAGCGGGTGCGGGCGGTAACGACGACGTCACCGTCCCTATTCCACCTACCGAACTGTAATTTAGTAGGGAATTGAGGGGGGTGTTCGTGGTGGACTGGCTATTGGTTACTGCTCGAACTGGCATTGGTTTGATAGGCTGCAAAGATGGTAAATACTATAAATGAATTAATAGGGAAATTCAGCAAAAATAAAACAAATCATAACCAAACAAAAACTTGGAAAATTTGCTTTTGTGTCTGAAATGCGCAAATACACAACAGCGACCGTGCTGTGAGTGATCGAAACTGCAGCAGAAACGCATGTGCACTCCGCGTTATTCGCTATTCAAATACTTCCAAAATAAAATCATGAGAACTCAGTTACCTACATATTTTGTTTAAAGAATTCTATAAGATTATTATAGAATAGAATATAACAAATAAGCAAACAATTCATATACTGCGTCCGTGAAAATGTAAGAATGTTATCAAATATTTAAAGGAGTTCATAATATTAAAACAATTCAAATGTTACTCTTTTCTATATTTTCATCGTCTATATCAATAACTGTCACTTATTTTCACATGAATTTCCAAAATACTATAAGTCATGGCTTCCCAAATTGAACGTCGTTGCTTTTTTCCATGGGCGTCGCGTGTTTGCGCGGACTTTTAATACAGAAAATATATTTATATGGTTTTAAATGAGTATAAAATGTATTTATTAATAAATAAATCAAATAAAAAAATATAACATGAGTCGATAGACCCTTGAATTATCCGAAATTATTTAAAAAAATTGTTCAATCCGAAAATTATCCGATGGTCCACGAAATTATTGGAAAATCGGATAATTACCCGGACATTGGCAACACCCGAATCGAGTGAGCATTCTGTTTCGCCGGTCCCGCCGCTCCCCTCCTTCGCGCGTGTTATATCATTAAGTCAAGATCCAACAATGGATAATTATATTCAAAAGAATAGAAAACGAAGTGAAGAATCAGGCGAGAGCAGCAATGTTAATTTAAGGTAAAAAGAAGAAAAATAGGAAATATGAAGACCAATATTTTGATTTTGGATTTACCTGCGTTACTAAATGTAGAACTTCCACAATGTGTTGTTTATCACAAAGTGTTGGCGGCTTCCTAATAAACTAAAACGGCATTTGGAATCAACTCAGTCATTTACAAGATAAGCCAAGAGACTTTTTGTAAGAAAATTGCGAGAGCTAAATTGATGCGTTGACATCAGCCAACGGCTTTGGTTTCAAGAGCCTCAATTCCTACCAAAGCATTGCTCGCCTCTTACATGGTAGCTTACCGTGTTGCCAAATGTAAAAAACCACATACGATCGCTGAGGAACTGATATTACCTGCAGCGGTTGATATGGTAATAGTGATGATTGAAAAATCGGCAGCTAAAGAAATAAAAAATGTACCTCTTTCAAACAATACGGTTAGTTGACGAATGCGCGACATGGCAGAAGATATTAATGAGCAAATTGTGGGGAAACTTTCAGGTTTATTTGCCATTCAACTGGACGAGGTGACTGATAGTAATGATGATGTTATGTACGGTACATACAAGAAACAAATACGTCAAAAATATGTGAAAGTTGTAAAGCTACTGACGTGTTCGAGATTTTAAACTTATATATGACTGAAAATAATATTAACTGGGATAACTGTGTAGGCGTGTGTACGGATGGTGCCCGAGCAATGTCTGGACATTATGGAGGAGTACAAGCTCTCATCAAAACCAAGGCTCCAAGTGTAAAATGGACACATTGTGTCAAACATAGAGAGCCTTAGCAGCAAAGAATGTTACACCTGAATTAAGTGTTGTGATGGATAGAATTATTAAAGTAGTGAACAACATTAAAACACGACCCGCGAAATCAAGACTTTTCCATAAACTTTGTAAAGAAATGGGGGCCGAACACACCTCTTTAATTTATTATTGCAACTCTCGTTGGCTGTCCAAAGGCAACATACTCGCACGTGTATACGAATTAAATGATGCGCAAAACTTTATTAACTCAGAGTGTATAATAAAATTAACATACCTCTGTGACATATTTAACAAATTAAATAATCTTAATAAACCTTTTCAGGGAAACAATACTCATATCCTGCTATTGGCAAATAAAATTACTGGGTTTTAGAAGAAGTTTTCCTGATTTACAAGGTATTCTACAAGAATAATCGATAGAAATCCTTGATCCCTCTTTAAAAAATATGTTTACACAACACATGCTATCATTGAGCGAACACTTTGAGAAATATTTTCCCGAAGATATGGAGCAATATGACTGGGTCAGAAACCCTTTCCTGTCATTAAGGCCATCGACACTTTCAAAAGAGGAAGAAGAACAACTGACAGAATTGTTCTGCGATTCCAGTCTAAAGCTTAAATACGACAAGGACAAACTGTTTGAATTTTGGAGCTCACTTTCTCATCGAATACATCAACGATAGATTATTAAAAATCTCTATAAAAATGCGTAACATCACAACACACCTGATAAGCACGTATGCCCCAGACATATCTAAGCCTACAGCAGAAACTGAAAATTTCTATCAGCAACTACAAAACGTCGTAGATAACATAAATACGAAACACAAAATTATCGTACTCGGGGATCTTAATGCACGGATCGGAAACGTTGTCATACCAGGTATAAAACAAAAGTACAACGAAGAAATAATTCATAACTAACTAAGAACTGAGACTAAGACTGAAGAAATAATTCATAAATAATAAGATCATAACCTTGTTTTATGCAAGATGCTACTAGAACGTCCGCAACGAAACAGAAAACCCCCAATGTTCATCGAAAAACATAATATAGAGTCGCTAGCAACAGAGAGTTCAAAACTGCTTTATGAGAACAGAATTACCAGCAAACTAAAAGGGACGACTTAAAACCCGAATGAGGAGTAGAAGATACTTGGCAAAAAATTAAGAAATGCATCAACGAAGCAGCAGAAGAAGCGATTGGAAAGCGGAAAATTAACACGAGAGCGACAAACCACACCAAACCGTGGTTTTGCCAAGATGTAAAAGAACTCTCTGAATTAAAACTCAAATGCTACCTGAGATATAAAAGCACGCAATCGGAAGAAGCTCATGCAGAATATGTCCAAATAAGAAACGAAGTAAACGCCAGAATAAAATCAATCAAAAGAGAAAATTGGGCCAAATTCACTTGCGACATGGACTACGACCTATATGGTGCCCAAAAGAAAGTATGGAAAATGCTCCGCAACAGGAAAAAACCAGTTAACGAGTTCGTGCAGACTAAAGGAGTACCTATAGAGGCATGGCAACAGCATTTTAAAGAGCTATATGATGCTGAAGAAACGCTGAATATAAACGAAAGCGAAACAGATGTGAGTGCTACAATCAATGACGAAGAAGTAGAAGCAAAGATCAAAAAGCTAAAAAACAGAAAATCACCGGGAACGGATGGTATACCCAATGAACTTTTAAAATATGGAGGCCCGGAACTTGCAAGTAAACTGGCACAACTATTTAACAAAATATTAAACTAAACAGAAACACCAGAGGAATGGCATAATAGTATCACAATCCCCATATTTAAAAAAGGACAAAAAACCTGCCCACAAAACTATAGAGGAATAACCCTCTTAAATAAAACAATGAAACTTTTCACGGGTATTCTCAAGGACAAATTGGAAAAGCAAATCACTAATGCTGAAGAACAACAAGGTTTTACAAAAGGGCGGTCTATAACAGACGCAGTATTTATAATAAAACAAAAGAAAAAGCTAGAGTTCGGCATGCCAGCGTATATTTGCTTCATTGATTTGACGAAGGCATTTGACAGAGTTCGCCTGGGAGACATTCTAAATATATTAATAGAAAATGAAACACCGACCAGTATAACAAAGATACTCCATAACCTAAATAACAACAACGTAACCAAAGTTAGAGCAGGAGACGAATTCACTGAAAATATTCCAACACCGGGAGGAATTAGACAAGGCGACAGTTTAAGCCCCTTCTTGTTTAATCTTCTCATGGGCAAAATTATCAACAAAGTAACATCTCTTAATCTCGGATATAGAATGGGCAACAAAAGAATTGGTATGGTGTGTTACGCAGACGATGCAGCAATTATTGCCGAATCAGAAGATGATCTCCAAAGGCAGCTCTTTCAAACAAGCCGACTACTAAATATGAACATCTCTACCAACAAAACTAAATGTATGACAATAGCAAAAGATCCGCTCAGATGTAAGTTAGTGGTTGAGGACAACCCCATAGAACAGGTGATGCAATTCAGATATCTTGGCATAGATATATCAAGAGGATGTGGTACAACCATGTAAGACAAATGGATGAGAAGAGACTCCCAAAAATTGCCCTAGAAAACAATCCGCCCGGTTCAAGACCCCCGAAAGACCACCTAAAAGATGGAGGGATAGTTGGCAATCAACCTCCCAAGAAATTAACCAGAGGCAGCTACAGAATTAAACAGATCGAAAGATCTACAAAAAGTAGAAGAAGAAGACTTTCTCATGAATGTCATGCCATCAGCACTGCTGCATTAAAGGTTTTATTACCATTTACGACGTCGTACTTGTGCGAAACGGGCTTTTTTCAGTTGCAGTAATTAAAAACAAGTACAGGTCAAACATAAACTTAGAAAAAGAAATAAGAGTGGCAATTTCCAAACTGGAGCTCTGGTTTCATAAGATGTGGTCAAAAAAGCAAGCACAACCCTCACATTAACCAGCCAGTTACATAAATAAATATTCCTTTTCAGTTTTGTGCCTGTGTTGATTTCCTTCTTAATTTCTAATAAAAAATATAAATGTTCAAGTTCAATCATGTTGTTACTAGGCTAGCACTAAAATTGGTAAGTATTATTAGGGGTTTGGTTGAGGGGACGTTGCAAAAAAAATAGCAAAGTCTCAAGGGCGTCACAGTACGAATAAGTTTGGGAAGCCACGCTATAAGTTAAAATTTTAATTGGATTGACTATGAGTTGTTCACAGGATTAGTTTACGAAATTCAAAGTATATAAACAAATACTTACACACACCTTCTGTTCTTTGCCTACAACCTTTTTACTGTCGTCATTCGAGTTTTCTCCGGAATGGTTGTTGTAATTATGCAGGGCGTTACTGGCCGCCGCAGCGGCAGCCGCCGTCGCCAGTGACGTCATCGTTAACGGCACTGAAGACGTGGGCGGTTGGAGTGGAGGTGATGATGAGGGCGGGGGCGACGAACCTGAAATGATAATACACAAACGATGATATTAATATGATAGTGTTATTCTGATTTTTTTTTGTATCTCAGATTTTATCAAATATTTCTTTGGGAAAATACCACAACTATGTAATTGGCTTATATGATTTTACATGTTTGGAACTCCAAGAAATTATTATACACCTTGCAAGACTACAAGTTAAATTCGGTTAAATTATTACTTTGCAAGGTCATTAGTGCGTCCTTAAACATATTACATCACCTTAATTTAAAGTCCTTATAATAAACCTCTCTTAATCAAAATTATTCAATGCATAAATTTGTGGAGTAGAATATTATACTAACCTGATATAATTGAGGTAGGTGTACCACCAGTTTCATTACTATCCGTCGTCGCAGAAGAAGGTAACGCTACGCCGGATAATTCAACTTCATCCATACCAATAATGTCATCATAGATAAATTCATTGTCTTCGAAATCTGGCTCCGTGTTAAAGTCTATATAGTATTCGACATTATCTCTAATATTTTTAATCTGAAATTAAAATATAATGAAAATTGATTCCATTGTATTGCAGTGTATAAGTAAAGGGATGTTTCAAATCTGGTGTTTGATCCGTCAAAATATTTGTAGTTCAAGTAATGTTTCATCACTAATTGCTTTCAAATTGAAACTTGTCTTGTAAAATTAGTAAATTTTTGTCAACTATGAAATATAGTATTTAATGTTCGCTTTATAACTCCGCCATAGCCAGTTATAAGTCCCGTTGAGGAAGAAAGAGGGGTTGAAAATGGCTGGTAAGATCGTAGTGGGCCGAATTAAACTTTTCTGTTAAGAATATATATCTGTAGAAACCCTTTTGGGTCTGCAAGACAGGAGGATCCTGAAGATACCATGGACAGACAAAGTCACCAACGAAGAAGCGCTGCGGAGAATGAACACAAACGCGGATTTGGTCAACATCGTAAGCTGCAGTACTTGGGACATATAATGAGAAATCAAGCCAGATACGAGCTACTCTATAAGAATATTCTGGCTTGATAACCCGAGAGCATGGTATAGAAAGATCTCAACACAGCTATTCCGTATAGCAACCAACAAAGTCATCATAGCCATAATGATCTCCAACATTCGGAACGGACAGGAACCCTAAGCAGAAGAAAGACAGGGGCAAACATTGATAAAAGGAGAAAAGACTACAACAAAATCAAGAAGGTGGATTATTTTTTTTTCAAACTATAAGAGCACACGTAATAGATGTTAGAGCTAGGAGAGGAGCAGTATGAAGTTTGGATCACTTTCTATTATAAATAAAATTTAGATGCCATATAAACACACAGGAGAAGAACAAAGACCCAAAAACCGAAAAATTAAACCTGGATAAGCTAAAAATCCCAGAAATAGAAAAGCAATTGCGAGAAGAATTGAATAGAGAACTCCTAGAACAAAGCATTACCTATTGGGACCCATCTGCGACAATGATATATGGATAATGTTCAACGACAAGTTATATCAATATTACAATCAATCCTCTATAGTAAATTATGCAAAAATATAAAGATTGCGCTGAGAAGGTCACCTTGTAAGAATAGATAACAGAACTCCTAGTAGAACGTTTAGCAAACTTGGGTGGGACTTCACAATGTGAAGACCAACGAAGAGGTGGATAACCTCTTCGAAGAGGAAGAAAAAAACGATGCTAAAGAGATATTGAGGTTCGATATCTGGAGAGCAGCCAAGAAAATGAATGAGGGGTGGGGCACGGCACGACTTGAGCTAGCGCCATAGGATAAAGAGAGGATAATTCTCTACAATGACAATGAGCTGAAAATTCAAGAAATTACATCCACTATTCCATTCAGAACTGACACCAAATAACTTTCTTATTGCTGTATATCCAAATCAAATATTGGGATCCACTTATTGCAAAGCTTGAAGAAGCATTTATAATGAAGGGTATAAGGAAATATATTTAAAAAATTGGTTCAAAGTGGTTTTGAAGCTACTTTATTATGACATTTTACTCATTATACTTTCTGGGAATGAACTACAAATATAGTTCATTCCAGTTCCAAGTCTACAAAACTTAAACAGACACCTCAGTGACCATAAGGGCACTAAAAATACATTAAAAAACAAAAATTACCTGTTGAACTTCCACGGACATATTATCTAACATCCTTAATAGCGTTTCTAATTTCCGTATGTGAAATTTATGTTTATCCAACCTAGATTTCAGATCTTCTATTCTATCTTGTTTGTCTTTGTCGAGTTTTTTCTTTTTATTTGATAATAGCTGTTCTATTTCAGATTCTAAGCTATCAGACTAAAACAAAGAACTGTATTCATTAATTAAATAAAAACAAAAGTAACTGATCGACAAACTATTGTCTGAGAAGTATAAAAATACCACATCATACATTTCTGTAGTGAACTTTAAGGGACCTTATAATGCCATGACCCATCGGTTGCACAACACATGTGGAATTTGGGGGTAAAAAAAGAAGTGGAATGTTTTTTAAACCGTTAACTCTCAGATGGGCTGTACATTTGTCAACAATTAAACGAATCTGTTGATGTCTGAACTCTCTGTCCCACTTCAAAAGTTCTCCACTAAAAATCTCTGCTGTCATCTACGATTTTTTATTAAATTTATCTATGACAGAAAGCTGATTCACACCTCTGAAACATCGTGGTTTTTGAACCGGAACCGGAACCGGACCCGGACATGTTGGCACACGCGAGTACAGTTACCCCTTCTTTTGATAACTTGCCACCGTATACAATGTTCATTTTTGAATTAGAAGGTCTTATCTTTATTAAGTTTTTAAAAAAAGTCCCAGTTCGTTGGCATTGAAAACATTATCGTCACTGTAATTTTGTCCTATTGTAGGCCATGACTTCAACCAGTTGTCGGCGACTTCTTTGGAGACACTCTTCGCTTCATCGCAAATTTTACACATGTAATTTCGTGATTGGCCTTAAAACGGCTCAACCATCCACTCGATCAGGAAACAAACGGTAAACATATAAAACAAAAACAACTGTGAAGTGAAATTCTGGTGAAATTTGTTTCATTTGTCATGTTTTTATGCCTCTTTACGTAGTTTATTAGGTGTGAATGGTCAAACCCCTATACTGACACTTGTGAATCATAAGTTGTAAATTTCCGACAAATTTCATGGGACATCTAATGTACCTCGTCATAAGCGAAACCTCGTAATACCCGTGTTGGTTATAGAGGGAGTATACTGTATAAATAAATTGTTACATAAAGTTTTGTTAATGTATAATTAACTGTTTGTCACACATTAAAATTGCACTTACTTAAAAATAACACCTCATACCATATCAGGTTTCTTTTAAATCATCTTCATCTTGCCTCACTAGAGGTCTCTAGTTGCATACTCTGGTAGTTATTGTCATGTAATTGCCAGAGTAATCGGTGCGTTTTGATTTGGTTTGAGTCTTCTTACAAACTCCTTCTGATGACGGGTAGACCCAGAAACACGTGTCAGGGAGTGGTAAGAGACTCAAATTAAATCGAAACGCAACATTCTTCGTATTTCTTTTAAATATTGTACATAGTAATGCGAGATGAGCTGAGTGAATCACCACAATAAGGAATCAGAGACCTCTAAGTAGGAGCGGAAAACATACCATCAGGAATGAAAGGCCTCGATGATGAATAGGAGATGAAAGAAGGGTTCTTTCTACATGAACAATACACAATGCACCATTACAAAAGCAAAGTATGCTTTGAAGTCAACTGAGTACACACTGTAGGCAAAATTTCATTGCGTAAACATAATAACAACCAGCTAAATGGTATCATGAGTTTGAAAAAAGATTGCTGAATTCCTTCCCAGGTAGATAATTATTGACAACTTGTACTTATTCTGAATAAATAAATTGTGAGCAAGGCAAGGATATATCCAGTTTGATTTATATTAAATATATCTAGTACTTACACCAATATTAAGTTTTGCTATTGATGACGTTAACCAATATTGTATATCATCTCTTTCTTTTTGGGCAGGATCTAATTTCTGAGCAGCACCTAAACCTTCTTTTGAGTACGCTTTCGTTTTGGTTTCACGTTCTACAACTTTAAACCTCTCCATTTGCTACAAAAAGGCATTTTTCTACATACAAAAAAATTTGAACAAAATAATTATTAACATGACCATTATTGTTTACAGTTTATTTTTATAACAAATATGCTAGTATCTTGAAATATATTATATTATAACATAAATATACATTTGTAATCAATGTATGAGAGCAGCAGATAATAACAATCAAAATATTTTGTACACAATCTTAACAGATAAATTAAAAAAATTGTACTGTTATCAACTTAATTGTGATAAAATAAAGTGATATTGTGTGCCAAAGGTGAAATAATATTAAATATGTAACAACAGGTAAGAATATTAAATTTTAACAAAAAAAGTTTGAACTAATCTTAAAAATTAGAAGGAATACAAAAATAGAAAAAAAAAGGTGACAAGAAATAATTTAATAGCAAATTAATAAATGGAATACAGAATACTACGATTTTCTATATTGTCAAGAAAGTAATTAATTACCTCGGAATAGACATTTAGGAATCAATAAGACTTTGTAGTAAAATATTTTAACATAATGGTTGGTGAATAGTTTTAGATATAGAAAGAATTATGTACTTCTATATTATCTAATATATAGCTATAATATACAAAATTTGTTTTTTATTGAAATTGATATGCTGTAATAGAGTTAGATTTTTAGTTTTCATGTTAACAGAATGTAAAAATGATATTCAGAGTCTGTTAATCTACATTCACACAATTCCTTATGTAACATATTTTTGTAGATTATAATAAATGGATATTAAATAACCTAATTCTTGGAATGTGCAACATCAACTAGTTCACAAATTCAAACTAGAATATAGATGGTATTGTAAATGCTCTATGAGGATATAAGAAACAAAAATTGCCAAGATATATATTAATGAAAGCACCAGGAAACACAAAGGCTGATTATGTTAAATAAAAAATACTTAGAATCTAAATGAACGCATTCTACCAAGAAATACATACTTCAAATTAGTATATTCAATTAAAATTTGGGTTTTTTTCCATTAAAAGTACCAAAAACAAAAAACAAATGCCACAAGACATCAGTTTCAGATCCATAATAAAAGATATTTATTAATAAAGAAAGATTTGAAGGTTGGAGTTTTAATTCCTCCACAAAGAGCAACTCAAGAAATATAATTTAATACAATTGAAGACATTGGTGCAAAAACAGCAGCTCCGATAACTTGTAAGATAAATATAATGAATATTTAGATGTTTCCTTATTTAATTCTGTGCAAAAAGGAGACAGCTCTGGAGACACAACTAAAATTATTTCTGGAAAATCATAATTTTTCAAGTACAATGAACCCATATGGAAGGAGCTAATAATGTTGTAGCTTTTTACATAATTTTCTTGAAAATATTGTATTATCAACAGTGACAAAATTATACATTCTACATCCTACAATCTCATAGCTGCAGCTCGCAAAATAAAAACCAAACCATGGCTCAGTATCTTTACACTCTAGCAAATACTAATAAATTTGCTAAAATTATGCAGAGGTATCCAGAACCAGGATATAGTTTCCTTCCTTGTGACAGCAGCTTCGGATTGATTAAAAATGAGAAAAGGAAACAGGAGAATATCATATTACCAGAATAATGGGTTGCACTGGTAAAAAATACATGCCTCAAATTTATAGTTGTTATAGTTTCGTAGGAGGTAATTTTGAACTTCAGTGGGAATTTTAAAAAGTGCATGTCAAACCAAAGAAAACAAAAATTTGGTACATCTACTTATCAAGTGATAAAATACACAAAAAAAGGTATAGAATGCAGTATTTGGACCAGTTCTTTCCTTAAGGACTTTTTTTATTTAATAATTACACTTCTACTCTGGTACACTACCTGTTAAGTACCCAAAATAACTCTATGTAAAGCAACAAAATATGTGCCTTCTGATTGTATGTGATTTTACAACTAGCTAAAGTGTCAAAGAGAAGAAAATCCAACTCAGTGTGAAGAAGATAGCTTTACAGATATTAATTTTACAGTTTATTTGTTACTTTTGACATTTTGTTAATAAATCATGTTTAAATTTGCATTTGATATTCTTTTTTAGTTCTCAGGTGCAAAAAGGGGACAACTCCAACAATGTCTTTTTGATATTACTATACAATCTAATTTTCAAAAAAAAAAAAACATATTTTGTGAATATATTTCATGTTATGTACTAGAGTTTACCCCTATATATCAATAAAACAAATTAATAGGATTCATTATAAAACAGTTCTCCTGAAAATAAAAAATGATATAATGGAGTTGCCTCCTTTTTGCAAATGTGTCTTCAATTTCCAATATAAGAATAATTTTGAAACATTATAAAAAGAAAACAAAATTCATGGAACAGAAAAAAGTTTATGAGTGTGATTCCCTTCTTTCTTCCAGAGATATTGTTGAAGACTTTATAAAGTAGGAAAGTTACTTATTTTGTTGATATGTATGGAGAGAAAGATATTTATTTATAAAGGAAGGCAGTATTGATGAAACAGAAAGGATTTCATGATTGTGACTTTCTTTTTATTCCAGAGACCTTATTCTAAAAATAGATTAGCCCTGTACAATGTGTCATATCTGTACTTTTACTAAGATTTGAACATTGGAGATTTCCCCACATAGACTCATAAAATATATTTTAATAGAATTGCCAAAATAAGATCTTTGGAACATTATAAAAAGAACATAAGATTTATGAAACAAAAAAAGAGTTCCCCAGTGTTACTCCCTCCTGTCTTCCAGAAATGGCTTTAGAAGTATATTTGAGCTGTATTAAAGTAGATTTAAGCTGTGTAGCATGTCATTTCTTTACTTTTACTGCGGGTTAAAGGTTTTATATAGTGCAATAAAAGATTGGACTCATAAAATATGCTCATTTGGATAGAATTGTCAACATAAGAACTTTTAAATACTATAAAGCTTCTTAATTTGTTTATATATTTAGGAGTGAAATATATTTACTCATAAAAGAGGGCAAGATTGATAAAATAAAGAAAAAGGGTTTTATATTGTAATAACTTATAAACCTAACATTCCTAGTGAGGGCAGTATTAATAAGATTGGAAAAAAATAATAAAAAGGCCTAAATACCTCAAGTAATGGAAAAGTAAAAATTTAAGAAGATAAACCAGATTGTACTTACTGAAGGGAGTATCCTAAAATTAAATACAGGTGAACATAAACAAAGAAAATATGATTGAAGACATGTTTTTAAGTAAACATGTTCTTGTAAAACCAATATCAATAAAATTTCATTAAAATCTTGAATTTTTTGTTAAATTATGACTAAAAACTGAACTATTTTGACATATATTGAAAAATAACAAATGTCAAGTACATAGTTTTTCATGATAGTTATAGCATACTGAATTTGGAAAAGTTTATAGCAAATACTAGATACTACAATATAGTTTCAAAGGGATTATTGTGGAACATTTTTTTTTTTGACTGAAAGAAGCTTATGACAATATTGAAAATGATAACACAACTACATACAGGTATTGGTAAACAAGACAAAAAATCTAATACATATATTCTCAAGATATGTCACTTTGATCTTAGCATTAATCTAATCTCTAGTGTGTCTTTAACATCCATAACTACTAAATTTGCAATAGTACAAGTGATATTAAAACTTCTAATACAGTTCATTTAATATCCCACAACATATGATAAAACTAACTGTTAACATGAGGATTATTTAAACCATAAAAGGCAAAAACCTATACCACAGGAAAAATGTGGAAGGATCAGGTGAAAATTGGAATACAAAAACAATAGCTAACACATGAAGATAGGGATGTAATGAAAAAGTAGTGCAGGCAAGATATGACAGTAAATATCTCACAACACAAATCACTATTATAAAAAGAGTCTAGTAAATTGGGGCACAAGTTGACAAACATAGGGAATTAACATGTTCCCTGCCTTAGAGGAATTTGTAATACTTTCCGTCACACCAAGGCCAATTCTACTATATGGTCAATCTATGGTGCGCAGAGGTACCATTATATGGCCTGTAATGATTCATGTTTAACATTTTTCAAAATTCCTCTTCTTACAAAAAAAAAAAAAGAAAATATTGAAAACTTGTGAAAATATATGTGCCATCTCAGTCACACTGACTGTCTGATGGCACAGTCAAGTTAAAATTCTCTGTCAAATATACCTCAATGGCATGCAGAGAAAGTTTTTTCTCAGTAAATAGACAGAGACAGCAGGCAATGTGTTAAGGTTAGGTGGCTGATTGATGATAAACAAAAATGAATTTTTAGGGGTTCTATAAGAGCTAAAATAATTGAACCATCAGCTTATATGAATGCATTCTGATGGTCTAACAACTGAGCCATCAGCAGACAATAAGTGAAACAGTATATTTTAGCTTTGATGTAAAGATTGATCATACATGAAGGTATAATTTCTAGACTAACACTAGTTTCTTTCATACTTTTTTCACATTATTTAAAATTAAGACTTACTTTTGTAACACTCAAATAACACTATTATTTTAAACACCACTTTAGTAAAACTCAACAATTACCGTTTCTATAAGTTTTCTGTTGTCCATTAAAATACTTTTATCTTTAATTTCAGCTGATGCTATCCAACTCTTAATTTGATCCCTTAGCCTTTGTAATTTCTTAATTTCCTTTTTGAGATCAGCCTCATATTTCTCTTTTTGGTTACTATTGGTAGCATTATGAACTTTTTGCCAGATGTCTTCAAATGTATCCACCCCTTCTGTAACTTTTTTTAGGCAGCGATCTATTTCCCCTAAAAACAAAGATTTTTATTAACTTCTTTAAAATGACAATTATAAATAATTGGTAACAGTTATTAAAAATTACTTTTGACACATAATTATGTGTACCTATAAAATATTTACTTAAAAATAAAATTAAAGGCACAGACTGGTTACTAGCTTGTGAAAACTGAAAGGTATCAAATATGTTAATTTTAATTTAATTTGAAATTTTCTTTTTGTCCCACTAATTTAGAGTGATAAGCTGAAATTTTATAACATACTTGCATTTATTGTTCTTTTATTTTTCATTTGTAAACCAAACATTCTTTTTTAAGGTTTTAAATACTTTCAACAAAATTTCTACAAAAATAAGAAATTGTATCTTCAGTCAACAGTTGTCATTAAAACAATATTTTTGCAGAGAGCTGCTTAAACGTGATCCGATTCTAAATATCAGCAATATCTCCCTTTCTTTTCTTCTAATTTGTTGCATAAACTGTATTTCAAATTGCAATCTGTGTTCCAGATCTTGGTCACATATTTCACAAAAAGGTGACTTTATGCAGAAATTATTACCTCCAAACAGACTGTAGTTTTCACATTGTGCTAGTAGGGTCCACAAAAAAACCATATCGTTGAAACACTGATATGGGTAAAACTTATCATTGAAAAACATTAAAAATTTCACTTACCTTGTAATTTTCTAGTAGCCGCCATGTCTGCTCTCTTCAATTCATAATAAAATTTGCCTCCTATTTCTAATGACCTAAATCTATCAGTACCATTCCAAAATACCGTTACATTCACCTATAATAATGTAATTGAAAAACTGATAAGCCTCTTCGTAGCCTTTTGATCCACGAAATATTTTTTTTAAACATAAATAAGCCTGTCCCCTAAACAAGACAATAAAAAGTTTCAGGATGCCAACCTCAAAAAATAACTGTATTTGACATTTGACATTGGCATGTGTCATTAAGGCGATTACTCTAAATTAATTTTTTAAATTAAATTTTATATTTTTATGAAAAGCATTTTATTTTTAATAAATTTAACTTAAAACCAATAATTTATTGTACCTAATATTTTTATTAATAAATATATAAATTCTATTTTTTGGTAACAGTTGCTATTTCATTTTACAATTTAAAATAAAACTGCAAATTTAAAAATAAATCCGTGTTTTTAATTTTTTAAAATCTTTACCTGTTTTATCTCTTTTAAGAGTTTAAACAAGTATGATTAAAATTTTAAGTATGAGAAATACTTTAGATTTTGTTAATTCCTTGTTAAAAACTGACTTTCTATATTTAACATTTCTATTCTGATTATATTGACATCACATTGACATTGAATTGACGTTTATTAATAAAGTAATCACTTTAATCAGTTTCACAGTTCAACATGTTAAGCGATAATAATTGATATTCCCAAAAGAAATTTAACAAAAACAAAACATTTCCAATGGAATATGTTCTTTGTTTTACTTAGCTTGTAGTGTTTCCCACACGATAATCAAATGAGGGTCGGTATTTGATTAATAATGAAAAATTTTGATACCTATGATCCAATCAAAGATAAACAAGTTGGTTTACCTAATGGAGAAAATCTAAGAGCTGGAGAGTCAGAGCCTGAAGATAATTTTAATACAATAAAAACTGTAGCGAAGCAGTATGACTTCGATACTAAGCTGTGTTATTCAAATAATTTAAGTTTAGACTGTAGAAGCCAAAGTTTACCAGACTGTAGTAATAATGACAGCCAGTTAAATGTATCTCTAGATGATTGTGATTGCAGTAGACCACAGTATGAGGATAATTCTCCTAGTCCTAAAAGTGACTCCTGGTTTAAGACTTTTAGAACATGGCCAGAAAGATATGAAAAATTAAAAAATGTAGAAACAAGCCCTAATTCCTCTGCAACAAAATCAGAAAATACTCATGAAAGCTCTCATTGTGATCTTATTGATAACTCAAATTTAAAAAATAAACTCTCATTTAATGAAGCTTTACAAAACATATCATTAGCTTATAGTCCAATAACAAAACAGTTACATTTAGTTGACAATCCTAAGATTTGTGAGACTGATTGTAATAATGACAAACATTTCAGCAATACTGAAGACAGTACAGCAAAGAAGTTGGGACATAGAAGGACTGAAGCTGGATCTTTTTCTAGCACTATCTCCAGCTGGAGTGCTATTAGTGATCCTTCAACCTCTGGGAGCTTGATAGGCTCTGAAGATAGATCTGTGTCTAGTTTTGATATCACCAATTATAAACCAAGGAGGAAAAGTCTCACTAGTTTCTTCTCCAAGTAAGTTTTTATAATTTTTTTATCAAAACTAAAATCTAATATCTGTTTTCTTGTGCATTGTGCAATGCAATTTAAGAATAATTTGGTGAATGAATGGACTAGGTAAAATAAAATAATTGGATGGGAAATTACTACAATGATTGGAATCCATTCACAGAGGAAAGAAAAAATTAACAAAGAAAATAAATGTGGCAGTTAAAAGCAAAATGAGGAAAGATAAGTAAATGCCTTCATTAAATGAAGAAGAATGAAGAAAATTTATAAGCCATGTGTTAAATAGATAAAGAGCTTTTATATTTTTAGATAAAGAGCTTTTTTAATAAGTTTCTTAATATTCCTTCGAAATTGCCAGTACTTTTTCCGTTATACCATAGTAGCCATTTTTAATGCAGTTTACCAGAGCATATACCTGTATATATGCATATACATATATTTATTAACAAAGACTGAGCATGCTAGCAATGAGCAGTGACAATAACATCTTTTGTGTTTGTTCACTCTATTGTTCTCTTCTTCTTCTTTCAGTGCCCTGTCAGATTATCAGATGTTGGCGATCATATTGGCAATAATAACCTTATTCACAGCGGCTCTTAATAAATTAGTGGTGGTTTCTTGATACCATTCTCAGACATTTTGTAGCCAGGATGTTCTTCGTCGGCCTGGGCCTCTCCTTCGCGCCTATTGTTCTCTAGTGCATTGAAACTCCTCACTTGCTCTCTCCCAACCAAAAGAGACAATGTTATACTTACTTAATGTAAAATAGAAATACTTAACTCTACAAACTGCTTGGTCTTTGTTAATTATATACTTCTGTGTAAATATGGATAAAACATATAGTTGTTGTGCAGTTAAAATCTGCTATGTACATTTTTTTGTGAAATTGAGTTGTGAGCACAGAAATTCTCAAAATTTAATTCCTAGCACATTGGTATAATCTGCTATAGGCTATGAATAAAATTAACCAAGTTATAAACATTTGGTTAAAATCTGCTATGTGTTCAAGTGAGGTAAAATCTGCTATGTGCTAAAATTTCATATAACCGAAATTGCTCTTTGTAAAAGTTGAGCTACTACTTGCACTTGAACAGATTTTAACTTTATTAAATTCTCCCCTGTAACTATATTTTAGGCACTTTTATATTAAAAATATATTTGTTGTATGTTAATTTAATTATGAATTTGACTGAGTATGTACTTTTTACACACAATGCAGTATTATAAGAGACATGACTGCTGTCAATAAACCTAAACACATGCTTACAGTAAACCAACCCCTGGACACAGCTGTGGTTGAACAGCCATAGGACACACCTCAGGACAATATAAAATTGCCTCAAAATTGATAATGTTCACAAAGATGAAGTATGCTGAAAAATAATGTCCATATTATTTTGCAATTACCTCCTAGACTTATATCAAATTGAGTTAGTATGGGCATCTCTTAAACAATATGTCGCACAAAAAAATACATTTTTAAATAATGGAAATGTGCACTGATGAATGGAAAAAATGTTGCTATCATCCAATAAAGTGGAAAAATAAGTTTTTGGAAGTACAACCTTTCATAGACACAATAACAGATAATTTTATAATTAAATTGGGTGATGTTTCTGAATCAGAAAGTGAAAAGGAAGTCAACAATAGTGAAATTGAATAGAAAGTTCTGAATATATAAATTATATTTCATCAAATCATATATATTAATTTAATTAAAGATTTATTTAAAAATTTTTGTGATTGATTTGTATGAAATTTTCTCAAAGCTTTATCTTTTTCAGACATGTATTTACATGGAAAGGTACATCAAACGAACCTGTTATTAGTGGCAGTGTGTGGAAGATATTCAGCAAACAACCCAGTCAAAGTGTTCATGTGTCCCCTGTGCATGGGGTAGCAAGTTCCTCTGCTTTAATTCAGCATGAGAGGTAATTGTTTAATCAATAATAAAGATTCAGCCAGAAAAAATAAAGAATAATTCAATAAATGAGTGTCAGATTTGCTGTAATCTTTTTAGTTAAAGATAAATTCAAAACAGTTTAACATAAACATTATGAGTAATATATTTTTTATCACTTTTTTCATCTTAAACCATTTGTAGTGTAACAACTTAAATTTAAACTCATTGAAATATTTTTTTATTCTATTTCTGTGTTTTAAGACCTTCAAACTTACCAGCGAAATCTCAAGATGAAGAACAAAGGCACAAAGATGAATATAAGGCCATATTGGTGGCTGCTAAAAAGAAAGAGGCTCAAACATCAGCTGCCAAACAGAAACAACAGAAGTTACAATTAAAAGTCGAAGAACAACAAGCTACTGCTACCAAGCACTTTACCCAAAATGTCCTTCCAAACTGGAATACAATGTAAGGTTTCACGAACTATATCAAATATAACTAACTATAAAATAAAATAAAGTGTCTCATGATCTGAATAGTAATACATCTTTTTTTTTTATTTATTAGGCGTTCAAATAAGAAAACTCTTGATCTCTGGTGGCAAGGAATTCCTTCTAGTGTCAGAGGAAAGGTATGGAGGCTAGCTATAGGCAATGAACTGAATCTCACTCCTCAACTTTACGATATTTGCCTTAATAGAGCCCAAACTCGTCTCAATAATACTGATGGAATCCAGTGTGACTCTGAAGGAGATCAAGAAAGTAGTATGGATGTTATACAGCTAGATATTTCAAGAACTTTTCCACATCTGGGAATATTTCAAGAAGGAGGACCTTATTCTGAAGCTTTACATTCACTTTTAGCAGCATATGTGTGTTACAGGTATGTAATTTTTTTATAGTTTTAATGCATTTGTATATTATTTTTAACTTTTTTAATGCAATATTTCAATTCTTATGTCTAAATGTTATTTATTTATTTAAAACTAAATTAACTATGCAGTGGGACAGTATTTTAGTTTTTTACATATTATAATATTATTTGTAATTATACTGTAAGATTTGATTTACTGCATACTAACAGACGTTTTCAGGGACCTTCGGCCCACAGTAATAATGTATTCTGTCATTCTGTGTTTAAATTTTTCAAAAATACTTAATAGTTCTCTCAGGATTCGAAAAAATGAATGGATTTAAAAGCATTGTTAAGGTACCTAAAAGAAAACTTAAGCTGCTTAGGAACCAAACTGAAAGAAAATGTGTAAATAATAAAAACAATGAAATTAATAGTAGCCAGAAAAGAACATTTTCATATTTATTAAACTATCTCTGTGTATTTCTGCTTCACTATTCTGTTTGTGTTTCAGGCCCGACGTTGGATATGTCCAAGGAATGTCATACATAGCAGCGATTTTAATTCTTAATATGGAGCCCTGCGATGCTTTTATATGTTTCTCAAACTTACTTAATCAGCCGCTCCATCTTTCGGCATTTACTCTGAACCAAAGTAGAATGCAAACATACTACAATGCCTATGACCAAATTTTTAGTTATAATTTACCAAAACTTCATGCTCATTTCACCAACTCTGGACTGACGCCCGATTTGTATTTGCTGGACTGGATATACACGATATACGCAAAGGCTATGCCCTTGGATATTGCTTGTAGAGTGTGGGACGTTTTCCTTCGTGATGGCTATGAATTTATTTTTAGGACTGCTCTAGGTAAGTACATGTTTTTTAGGCAAATGTGACATGATACTTTTTATAAAGTGCTTATCTTTGATATTTTATAAAGTAGGGCATAGTGCTTTATACCTATGTGTGGAGAGTTAAAATTTCATTATAACTGCAGTATAATCCCAATATTGACAAAAATGGACATAATGTCCTTTATCTCTGGGATACAGTATTAATTCTTGTAATAGTATTAATCTTAGCTTTAGATTTAATTGTACTATACTAACTTTGGACTAATTTAATTCTTTTAGGAATACTTTACTTGCACCAAGACGTTTTGATGCATATGGACTTTCTACAAGGAGCACAGTTTCTTACTCATTTACCAGAAGATATATCGGCAGATTCTCTCTTTAAAAGTATACAGTTAGTTAACACCACGATAGGCAAACAAACTTTTAGTCAAATTGTCGATAAGTGTAAGTTTAGTTAGTATATATTTAAAATATTTGATTTCTTCTGGAGGATGCGTTTTGATAAAAACTTTATAACGTACAGTGCATTGTAAAATCAGATCATTTAGTTCTTTTCAAATTTTGTGATATTTGTATAATAGACTTTGTCGAAGAAAAGGTGTATCCTTGTTTTGATATCTTTAACACAAGTGTTGAGATACAAAATGTAGACTTTCTTTTTTTTTGAACGGATAACATACTGCCAATGGACGGACGTGCTTGTATACATGTTTACACGATTTATACGAGATTTTATACGGAACGGTAGCACCTCACCTTAAAGCACTAGCGTTTCTCTTATAACGGGCCGGTATCCGTCGAGCCGAGGAGAACAGGTGTGCATCCGTCGACGATTGATCACCGGACGGGTATCCGGTGCATTTACTAATCTTGATTATAAGTTAAGCAACACTGAGTTCATTATAAAAATGGTACGTAGATCTAGAAGAAAAAGGAGTTTATTTTGTGTGATTATTTATCACGAATATTGATAATACCACAAATATAAACAAACGAGGACTTCTTTTAGAGAAGCAAGTTCTGAAGATATACGTGCATAGTCCCAAAGACGTATTGGTGTGGAAGTGGAGGTTCCGGAAGGGCTGTTGAAGACTCCACAGAGAGAATCGCATGCTCGACGTAGCAAAAATTGACTCTAACTCGGCAACTTTAACTTAGAAAGTGTAGGATGAATTTATATATTACTTTGGTACAACAACCTGTTGGTAACACGTTTATTTAGCAATTTTTTATATTTTTTTATTTTTCCATTTCAATATAAGTACTCTCTTTCTGCATGCTTGCCCCGCGCTCCGTGCGAAGTTTCTACTGTCGATCATCTTCTGACAGGCTGTTGAGTAGTTGCACTGATTTTTGTTTTACGTCCTCTAACTTGTGGCGAGTTTCTTTCAAGTAGAATTTGATTTTTGGAAAAAGGTAAAAATCTCTAGAGTGCTAAATCTGGTGAATAGGGCAGGGGTTATATGACTGTAACGTGGTTTTTGACCAAATAGTCTTTACCAGAGTGCGCTTTGTCACATTTCGTGTATCTGTTTGCAAATTTTTTCCCGGAGTCATCGTAAAACGTTTAAATAGTAATATTAATTAACTGTATAGCTTTGTGGCAGACATTCCATGTGAATTACACCTTGTCTATTTAAGAAAATAATTCATATCGCCTTGAATATGTACTGCCCTTCCTAGCTATTTGGATTCTCGAAGAGTTTGGAGTCTCTCACTATATGTATTGAAAAATCTATGCTTCGTCCCAAGTTATGACACTTGACAAGAAGTTTAAGTCCTGTTCGATGCTTCCCAGGGTGTCAGAATAAATTTCATTACTATGCATCTTCTATTCCGTCATTAGGTGACTGGTTACAAGCTTGGCATAGACTTTCCTCAAGCTTAATTTGTCTCACAGTTTCTTTATTAATGTTCACATATCCAGCAATGATTCCAATACTTAATTGGCGGTGTGTTCAGAACTATTTCTGTCATTTTTGAACTTTCAATTCACTTTTAGAAGTCACAAGCCGCCCGGAATGTTCGTCAGCAACTCGGCAAGTCTTCAAAAAACAAAAGTTTATTGCTTTGGACAGCTTTAAAACCAAACTAATTGTTGTTTTTGCTGAAATTGTGACATATGTCAGTACCGTAAGTCTAATGTAGCGCCGTTTATCGAAGGCTAGATTAATACCAATCCAACCTCTTATTCTTTTTACAATAAGTAATAATCTCTGTCGGTCAGATAGCCAAGCGGGCTAGGCGGCCGATTCTCATTCGCTTCACTGTCGAATGGTTCAGTGGATGTGGGTTCGCGCCCCAGCTCAGTGTACAGAAAAATAAAAAGGCTAACGCAGCAGTTTAAAATTCTAGATGAATCTGCGGCTTAGACTAGAATATGCTGGTGTCTGATCGGCCTATGGTGGAGCAGTACAGCAAGAGATAAGGGCTTGCGGCTCGGTGATACCTCTCCATAGATCCCTACCGGAAGGGCGTGCCGCCTAAATACCGGTGTATGTATGTATAATAATCTCTGTTTGCAACAATATCAACTATGGTGCAATATATTAATGAAATTTTGATTGTATAAGCAGAAAAACTGAAAATTTCTGTTTGACACCGACAAATTTTAGCTCATTTACTGAATACTCCGTTTAAGATTGGCTTTAAATTAAAGTAAGGGTCCAAAAAAATGCACTCATTGTTTTTTTACGGTTAAGATATTAATTGTTTACAAGATTTAACGATGCACTGTATTTAAAAAATGTCTAAAACTTGAGAACTGATATGTTAGATCTAACGAAGAAATTATTAGGTATGTTATCTAATGTAATAGAATAGTGTTACTCAGATCCGGACTCTCGTGAATTTTTTAACTAGTAGGTGCTTTAAGTTTTAATATTTCCGAGGCGTTTTATGTTTTTTTTTCCATGCCTTATATTGGTGTTAAAACTATAATATTCTGAAACTGTTTTAAATAAAAGACATAGAACATGTTTCTTCTTCTTCTGAGATCCCAAAGAAGAAATACTTCAAATGTGAACTACTAAAATGACAAGGAGATTGTAGAAAAATAAGTACGGCAAAGCTAATTTTACACAATAAATTTCCAGTTGTAAACGATCGACATTCGTATATATTCTCCTCATTGCGCTTTTAAAACGTTTCTTAAAGTTATTGCCATTTACTTTGCTTTAATAATATTGTATTTCAACAGAAGATGCAGTGAATATTGATGTAGTAGAAGTTAAGACACTTGAGCGCACTTCCTTTGACCTTTGACCATATAATTATTTTCAACAGGATTACTGTGGAATGTAGTTTTAAAATAATATAATAATAATAATTTCTTCATTCGTTTAACCCGAATTGATCTAAACGAATTGCAATTATTTACGTTTATAAACTTCGTAGGAAAAAACGTTGCTTATGTCGAAAATGTTGATTAATAAGTCGTTAAAGGAACAATAAATAAACGAACTGAATGGTGTAAAAAACCGCAAAAGAAATACTTATAAAATTGAAATCCTATTATTATAATTCTTCTAAAAAAGTAAATTGTTGTAAAAGTACTAAAAGTCCCAACAAAGCATTTCGTTGCTCAAGTAGAAAACTTATTAAAATATTGTACTGTATGTACAGCTGGTTCCTAAAAAAACTGATACAACTCTTGTACAAACTTGTACAAAATGTAACATGTCAGCTTTTCGACACGTGATTACATAAATGTCTCCCAATTATGACTTATAAGTGAATTTAAGATACAAATTCGATTTATTGTTCCATTTATTGTTCTATGTCCTTAATTTAAAACTTATGTGGCTCCTTAATAGAGTCTAATATTATTTTAATGTACCCGGTATTGCGTCGTTTGGCGAGATATTTTTTAACGCGCTTAATTGATGAATTTCGTAATTACTTTGAAGCAAACAATCTGTTTAGGTCATTGTAGGAGCAATATAATTTATAATCAAAGGAATTAACCAATCAAAGAATTAAATTAGATTCAATATCAATAGTTTATTCCATTGTTATCGTTTCCTTACGCATGAGCTGTGTGAGTTCCCTCCCAAACAAGTTAACATTATAAACTGGTGGTTTATTTTTGTCAATAACTATTATATTCGGTTTAAAAGCTAAAAAGAATAGAAAAAAGCTTGATTTACACTCAAACAGTTACTAAAAATCTCTCCAGATTCTCCTTTTTTATGCAGGCGTATCATTTCCTAGTCACAAGATAGCACTGTAGTTTCTAGCCATGTGTTCTTAAAAGTAGATCATCTAAATGTAATCACATACAAATTTATGTAATCACATAAAAATCAATTTCGGTTATAATTTTTAACTTCAGTGTTATATTTTTAATGAACTTTTGGTTTTTGAATACTGAGCTTAAAATAACTTCTCAATAAAGTGTATTTTGTTGTAACTCTGAAGTATATATGCAAAAAGAATTAAAATAATTTTAAAGTTATCAAAATAATTACTAACTAGTATGTTAATATATCTACGAATGTGTATGTTCGTGATGACGTCCACCGACTAACAGGAAAAAATGTATATCTTGCCCGACGATGCAACTCGGCTGACAGTGTGAAACGCTTAGATTGAAAAATAGCTTTTGTTAAAAGATCTGTCCAAAGCTGAATGTTGTAATCTGTGTATATGAACAAATTATTTTTATACTTCGGTCCCTTAAGCGCCTGCTTTAACCTAGTATATAGTATATAAGGTATTTCATATTATTCTGTAGGAAAGCATACTGCTACAAAATTTTTGCAATAAAACTCCAAAAATACTGATAAAATTAAATAAAAAATAAACATTTTTTGAGAAGAAGAAATATAAACAGTGTTACAGCTAAACGATTTTAACGTGGCTTTCTCCGCTCCTTTCTCTCGAGTTGCTCATACACTACAGCATGTTATACTCCATTCAGAGAACTCACTTCTAACTATCTAGTAAATTTAGTATACATGGTTTACTGATTCCAGTCCCAACTGTAAGTAGTAAATTTAGTAATCATTTTTTGCTACGATGGTTAAATTTTGACTCTCTGGAGGTGGCTTAAAATTACTATACAACCAAACACACGGGCTCATAGCAAATATTAATTTTAATTTTTAATGAATACACACCCCATTATTCGTGTTTATGCTTCTTTTTCAAAGATAGAAGTCTGCAATAGTAAGTTTATATTAGCTATTATTGATGAGAGGTTTAGAGGTTAGAAATTGTTGTATGTTTCTGACAATGAATCTCAAAATATTCCCAATTGTAATATTATATTGATGTACTCATCTTTATCAGCCCCAGCATAATTCACATGGACCGACAGCGATCACATAATGCAAAAAAACCCAAAGTTCTCCTTTACAATCTTCCGAATATTTTCTGTCACATAACATGCACAAAACGTCATCCTCTTTAGATGGTGACATTCCCGGAATAATGTCCAATTCAGATGTTCCAGAAGAGACACTGATTTCATCTTCGGTGTCTGATTTTTTTGTTCGGTCAACATTACGGTAAAACCGGCTCCCACCGTACGCTCTGCTCTATGATATTTCGTGAATCTGTGTGTGAATGTGCGAAATACCCTAGGCACTTATCCCTTTTAGAAGTTGGGACGTTGAATCGTTTTTAAAGGATGATTGAAATAATACTATTTTGTAGACGGCGAAGACAAAGTATCAGAGTCTAAGGTAGGTGGAGCAGAGCCCCGCTAGTCGGCTCCCTAGAGTTTAGGGGTCTAGGAGAGGCCGAGGTAGACTGTCCTTTGGTTTGAAAATCAACTAATAGTTATACACAATATTTTACAAGATTAAAAACTAAAAGACCAATGAGAGATTAGGAAAAGGAAGGAAGGCGGGGCGATGCTCGCCAAGAGTGCTCATTGGTCACTCTGACCGAGCACTTGGCGACAGGGGTCGTTCATTGTTTCTTAACCACTGCCTTATTTTCTTACTATAACCAGTTTTGAGACAATCCATGAAACTTTTCTCCAAAAATTGAAGTTTATGTGAGCAGTGAAGTGGTATGGACACAATGGTAACATGGTGTGTTTTTTGCCAAATCGATCACTTTAATATTTTGAGTGTGAATATAATGGTCATCTAAGAGTAACACCACAGGTTTCTCCTTTGTAGGGTAGACAAAGTCGATAAAGTGCTTAAACCATTGAGTGAAGGAGTTGATTTGAATTCAACCTGAAGGATGCACTGTAAAAATTGTTCCTGATTGAGCTCCTTTTTTCAATTGTTCACTCATATTTTTTCTCGGAAAAATTACTAAAGGAGGGACGAATGAGCCAGTGACCTTCATACAAGCAACAATCGTTATAAGGGCTCCACGTTCTCCTGACGTCAGGGCAGTAACGTGCTTTAACATGTTCCAAGAAGGTTTTGTTGTGTGCCGTTTAAGAAATAGATTGGCCCACGTTTTACCAGCTATTTCTTATTTGAATGGATGTATAATGTGATTTCTCTGGGCCATCTGCGCGGCTAATATTCTTAAATCACTTGTAGTGAATCCAAAAAACGATGCTTCCATTGCACAACAATATTGGACTAGCTCGTCTTCCAGATTTTCGCCCAATATTGTAGGTCTGCCTCTTTTGGTTTGTGCTGCTTCGATAGGTGTACCATACTTATCTTTGCTTAATCTCATCAGTATTTTCTTCGTCACATTAAAATGTTTACGTGCCTTCTTCCACCCCATCTTCTTATTTTTAACTGCATCAATGACCTTAGTCATTTTAGACAGACTCCACTTTCTCTGTTCGACCTTCCCCATTTAATTGATTTTGAATCTGTAACAAAATTACAAATCATAGAAATGTGTACACTTTTTTAGAAAGAGCGGAGTTTTAAATCTAAAAATAAGTGGTTCGATTTAGGCAACCACTGCGGGTCCGATTTAGGCGTCTATAGCATACATTTTATTAATGCCATAATTTTTTAACCAAACCATTACATGGACTGTATTAGTGAGAAATAATAACCTGAAACCTTATTATCTAAAATACAATATAGATTGAATAGCTTACCTGCGAATATCTCTGAGAAATAATGAAAAATATAACAACGTAAAAACTTTCCACACAATCAATACACGTTCAGGACAACTGACAAGCGATAAGTGACGTAGCTAGTTTGTGCGCTTCACCACTAAGTCATGGAACTCTATACCATTTACACTCAAACGTACCAAGAAGGCTCGGGGTCCGCTTTAGGGGGACTCCAGATTTGGACACTTTTTGTTTAATTTTGTTTATTTTTTAATCCGTTTAAAAAAAACAGTTAAAAGATCGTACGCGACTGATAAGGATGCCAACCGGCATGTTTCCGCCGACCGACAAACTCTGTGTGCGACATAATATGGCACGACGCTGTATGCGGCGTACGGCGTTTATTGGAGACCCAGACTAATATTATTTACAAACGGAAAGTTTTTAATCAGAGTTTTTTTCATTTAAAGAAGTGTGTAATAAGTTTATTTCAGCGGAGTGGTCGAAATTTTATTATTGTCAATGAAACTGTCAAAATATTACCAAGCTCAGTGAATCGACTATATTATAATGTTTTTATTAATTTTAATTTATTGTTATTTTAATTTACTAAAACACGATAATTTATATCAATTTATTAAACCACTGTACAACAATTTATTTGACTAATAATTACATAATTTATCTATACGTGCGTTACATTTTAAAACGCGATCGCGATCTTCTTACTGACTGACCCTTCAATGAAAATCCCCGTTATTTATATTAAATCATGTGTTAAAATGGAAGCGGCGAATGGTCTCAAAACTGGTATTTTTACATCAGCTCTTCTCCAGAATGTTCGATTGTTGTTTTTATAGCGGAGGGGAACCCATCGTGTGTCACGTAGGTATTACCTAGAATATACGTGAATGAATGAGAATATTAGTAATAAATATGTTTACGGTTTTGGGTCAGAATTTATCGCAGCAATATACTTGGCACAGG